TGTGCAAGACGTGGTAAAGCACTATTAAAAGGTTTATAAATACCTTCACCCCTTAAAAAGTATATATATTTTTTGTATTAATCTCTCAGTATCTGGTAATTACATTGAATTCCAACTAATTTAGAATTTAACCACATGAGACCCTATTTGACGAAGAGTAAAGCCATAGATGACGAAGAAAGAACTAGCATCATTCTCTTTAAAAAAGGAAGCAAGATATAAGATTTAAATGATGGGAAAAAAAGGAGCTGCAAGGCTATAACTTTTGCCAAGAGGACTTAATTAATAGAAGGCTTTAAGTTTTAGAGGGAATAAATAAAGGGTGGCATTGCTTTTGGTAAAGGTAAGTACATATATATCTTCACGCCTTCCTCCACCTCTAAGTTTAGGCCCACTAAAGGATTAAGGAGCATCATTTCAGATGTGTTGAAATAGTGATCAAATTAATCCATAAACATAATAAAAGTTCACGAAATTTAAATACAAAAGAGTACATGCATGAATTAATATAAAATTTATATACATCTAAATAAATTTAAAGAGACTAATAGAAAATGTGTGCAACATGTGGTAAAGCACTATTAAAAAGTTTATAAATACCTTCACCCCTTAAAAAGTAATTTTTTTTTTTGGTATTAACCTCTCAATATCCGGTAACTACATTGAATCTCAATTAATTCGAAATTTAGCCGTGTTAGACCCTATTTGAGAAAGCTCTCCCAATACTTGTTTTTTCATTCACAAGACTCGAATTCAAAATCTTATTTAAAAAGAACTGAACTTCTTTCACTTGAACTAACATGCCGTCGATCACTTAAAAAGTAAATGATTCTAGACACTTTTCTCTTTATTGTACTCCTCCCTCTAAAAGAGCCCTAAATATGTTGATCAACTCGTGGTCAACCCAAATACATTTATTGTAAGCAACAAGATTGTTGAATGGACCTTTCTTTGCATAATTTAGGGGAATAGACTCAATTCACGATATTTCATCTTATCTTTGCTCTCTTGTCCCTCACGAGATCCTCGCTTCGATTCCTCGTCGAAGCTACCTTCTTTTTAGATTCTAAGTTCATGAGATCTTTCTCGCCTATCCCTACTAGCTTCTCTCTCGTCCCCGGAGTCGTAGGCAATGTTTTCAAAATCGGATCGGTTATTGAACCATTTTCAGGTCTGGTTTTTGGTTTGATGGGCTCAACCGGTTGAACCGGTGAACCGGTCGATCCAAACAATAAGGAAGGTTTGATGAGATGAGCAAGCTATAGGCATGGATTTTTTTATTTGGTGTTGATAATTTTGTAATTTTGTTAAAGTTAAAGGTTAAAATGGGTATAAGAAAAGAATGGGAAGGGTGAAATTGGAAAAAATTGAAAGAAGATTGCATGAGAAATTGAACCGGTGGTTTTTCTGGTTCCACCGGTTCTATCAGTTTTTATCGGTTTTATCGATTTTTGACCGATTTTTACCGGTTTTATCGGTTTTGATCAGTTTTTATCGATTTTGACCTCAAATGGTTTTTTATGTGAACCAAACCATTTTCATGACCGGGTACTGGTCCGACCAGTTCAACCGGCCGGTCCGGTCCGGTTTTAAAAACCTTGGTCGTAGGACTTTTGGCGGTCGCGAGAAGTTGTTATATATTTTAATTTAGAAAAAAAATAGCAAACCGTTTATGCTCAATCCGTTACAAATCTATTGCTTAAAAAAAAAAAAAAAAGTGCAATAACTTTGTGCCCATGCCTTCTTGTTTTTTTGTTAAATGGTTTTGTGCATTTCTTTCTTAAAGAATAAAATCAA